TGGTACCCACAGAGTGACCCATTTGAAAGGTGATTTGCTGGTGGTATTTTATTTATTTTTTTTTTTTTCCCCTGATATGGTTTGGAGTTAAACAAAGAACATGCAGGTCAGATGATAAATGTGTTGGATGATAAATACACTGAACAAAAATATAAATGCAACACTTTTGTTTTTGCTCCCATTTTTCATGAGCTGAACTCAAAGATCTAAAACATTTTCTATATACACAAAAGACCATTTCCTCACAAATATTGTTCAGAAATCTGTCTTAGTCTGTGTTAGTGAGCAATTCTCCTTTGCCGAGATAATCCATCCCACCTCACAGGTGTGGCATATCAAGATGCTGATTAGACAGCATGAATATTACACAGGTGTGCCTTAGGCTGGCCACAATAAAAGGCTACTCTAAAATGTTCAGTTTTATCACACAGCACAATGCCACAGATGTCGCAAGTTTTGAGGGAGCGTGCAATTGGCATGCTGACTGCAGGAATGTCCACCAGAGCTGTTGCCCGTGAATTGAATGTTCATTTCTCTACCATAAGCCGTCTCCAAAGGCGTTTCAGACAATTTGGCAGTACATCCAACTGGCCTCACAACCGCAGACCACGTGTAACCACACCAGCCCAGGACCTCCACATCCAGCATGTTCACCTCCAAGATCATCTGAGACTAGCCACCCGGACAGCTGCTGCAACAATCGGTTTGCATAACCAAAGAATTTCTGCACAAACTGTCAGAAACCGTCTCAAGGAAGCTCATCTGCATGCTCGTCTTCCTCATCGGGGTCTCGACCTGACTGCTGTTCGTCGTCGTAACCGACTTGAGTGGGCAAATGCTCACATTCGATGGCGTCTGGCATGTTGGAGAGGTGTTCTCTTCACGGATGAATCCTGGTTTTCACTGTTCAGGGCAGATGGCAGACAGCGTGTGTGGCGTCGTGTGGGTGAGCGGTTCGCTGATGTCAACGTTGTGGATCGGGTGGCCCATGGTGGCGGTGGGGTTATGGTATGGGCAGGCGTATGTTATGGACAGTGAACACAGGTGCATTTTATTGATGGCATTTTGAATGCACAGAGATACCGTGACGAGATCCTGAGGCCCATTGTTGTGCCATTCATCCACGACCATCACCTCATGTTGCAGCATGATAATGCACGGCCCCATGTTGCAAGGATCTGTACACAATTCCTGGAAGCTGAAAACATCCCAGTTCTTGCATGGCCAGCATACTCACCGGACATGTCACCCATTGAGCATGTTTGGGATGCTCTGGATTGGCGTATACGACAGCGTGTTCCAGTTCCTGCCAATATCCAGCAACTTCGCACAGCCATTGAAGAGGAGTGGACCAACATTCCACAGGCCACAATCAACAACCTGATCAACTCTATGCGAAGGAGATGTGTTGCACTGCATGAGGCAAATGGTGGTCACACCAGATACTGACTGGTTTTCTGACCTCCCCAGACCCCCCCAATAAAGCAAAACTGCACATTTCAGAGTGGCCTTTTATTGTGGCCAGCCTAAGGCACACCTGTGCAATATTCATGCTGTCTAATCAGCATCTTGATATGCCACACCTGTGAGGTGGGATGGATTATCTCGGCAAAGGAGAAGTGTTCACTAACACAGATTTAGACAGATTTGTGAACAATATTTGTGAGAAATGGTCTTTTGTGTGTATAGAAAATGTTTTAGATCTTTGAGTTCAGCTCATGAAAAATGGGAGCAAAAACAAAAGTGTCATGTTTATATTTTTGTTCAGTGTATATTAACATAAAATTAAAATAATGTATTTGAATGTTTTAATGTTTTAATCCTCTGATTACTGATTTTGCTTTGTGTGTTGGATCCATCTTCTGTGCCAGCTGAAGTAGAGCCACTTCAATCAGGTGACTAATAGACATGTTGACAGTGAAGATGTGCATGCCAACTTAATGAGAAAAAGCAACAAATATTCATTTAAATTGTGTTTCCTGAATTACTTTCATTTAAAAATATATAAAAAATATATTATCTTCAAATGTATCACTTTAAACTTACTGCCTCACTGAATTGTTTTAAAAGGTGCATGGTTTTTATAATGTGTGGGCGGCAGGGCGGGTGGTTCAGGAGCAGGTCTCAAAAATCAGACATGTGCAAGACTGTAGCAGCAATACTAACTTTAAAGGGACATTCTGTAACATGTTCATTTGTTTATTGGCAAAAAATGATGTCTGCATTCATAAATATGTCATCATTGGTGTATTATTACCTCCACCAATAATCTGACTTATTCTCGTAAAAGGAGATTTTTAGATTTGTTTGTACATTGTGCGGATAAGTCGTCTGGGGGGTTCCATAACGTTTCGCCATCTTGAGAATACATCCGCCAGCAAGGGACATACAGCCCCGCCTTCTGCGTTTTCGTTGAGAGCCAGGCCAGCGCTGCGTGACTGAGAAGCCGAAGGAGGCGCTTTGCTACTACACCAGCAATACTGCAGCATAACAAAGTCCCACTCTTTGAGCGTAATGCAGGATCATGCATGTGCAGCATCACGGGAGATGGAATCCTTGTCGCCAAGAAATTGCAAAGGAAATCAAAAAGGCAATGTGACCGGCGTTGTAACCAGGGTAGCCTACAGCTAACAGCGACAAGTGGCTCAACCTCACACAGCTCATCCCTCTCCTCGCATCACTGCGCTGTTAGCTGTTAGCTGTTAGCTGTTAGCTGTTAGCCGCTAATAGCAGGGGGTTTGTCAACTCGCGTTGCGTGTATCTGTGTAGAAGCCTGAATGAATACTCCATGAAGTATCAGATGACATGGTTTGTCAGTGTTATCATAGCTTTTTTGGTACACAGCGGCTACCGTTGTTGCAATACGCGTTTGAAACAGTGAGGCAGTGTGCTATTAGTTTGAATGCAATATATAATTTCAACGTTAGATGGGAGAAATTCCTACACACTGTGGCTTTAAGTGTAAAGTAGTCACTAGACCAAGCAGTGCTTACAAAATGTAAACAAACCGGTAGTGCTTCGTTGCTGTCATTGTTTCTGGCACATGATTATTACATAAAGCAACCCATGTACAAGGCTGTTGCCGCAGCGGCCCAGGTTCGAGTCCAGCCCTCAGCCCTTTGCTGCATGTTACTCCCTCTCTCTCTCTCTCTCTCTCTCTCTCTCTCTCCCTTTCACACTCACCTGTCCTGTCAATTAAAGGCTAAAATGCCCAGAAAAATATCTTTAAAAAAAATAAATAAAAAAATTAGGAGAGGACGTCATCGTTTTCCAAATGCTCCACTGTACATGTCCACTCAGATACAAAGTAACTGGAGTTTCAGAAAAATCTTCATTTTAGAAGACAGTTAAAAAACTCACTTAGGTCACTTTTAGTGACCTAAACTGTTTGCGTGTGGACGAGAGGTAAAAACATAGGGGAAAATATCAGTTTTCAAAAATATCTGTACACACCTAGACAGGGTCTTAAAGAAATAGTTTGACAGATTAGGAATTGGACAACTATGGTTAAATACAATAAGATGGCTGGATGGAGGTGGTCATCAACACTGCTCACATGTGCAGCGCACACTTCATATCAGGTTAGGGAAAAAGTATTTACTGTTGTAGGGATGAATAATGTTATGTGTATTAAGGGTTATCATGTCCACCTAATCAGAAATTGTGGAGGTATTAAGAGAAATACTGGATTTCTTTTTAACGCTAACTTTTTAGCGCATTAGCTAATGTTAGCTTTGATAGCAAAAAAAAAAAAAAAACCTGGAGGAAAGTGTTCAAGAGTCGTCCTCCTTCGTCCTCCTGTTATATTTCTATATGTATTAAAGAACGGCGCTCTGCTGGTCCATCTCCCCAGACAGAGTGCCAAGGGCGTACTTTGCCACTCTGAGAGTATGGGGCTCTTGATAACGAATCAGTACATTCAAACAGCGCTATGAGCGGTTCGGTTTGTACCAGAGTGCGCACCACTTGGAATGAGTGTTTCTGAACGCACCACTCATATCATCGTCCTACACTGTCCAAAACAAGCCCAAAAGAATTCACTATCTAGCGCTGGCTAATGTGTGTAGAGAATTTTTTTTAACCTCGTCACATAGTGACGTTTGGTCATGGACTTTCCACGCCCACATGCGACAGGCAAGGTACCCATGGGTGCATTGGTTGTTGGCCTGTCATGGGCAGCCCTCTCACTCTGACATCTCTCCACTTAGTGCATGTATGTCCTGTTTGTGCATGTGTGTGTTTGGACCTGTGTGTAATTGACAACGAGTGAAAAAAATGGATTTCCCCTCGGGGATTAATAAAATATATAAAAATTTAATTAAAAAAATAAAACTACAACGGCAACCAGAGACGTATCATGCTGACATTAATTACATTGCACATTTTTTTTACATTGGTTCCAGACACCGCAAGTCACTACCCAAGCACTGGATTTCGACAACTTCCAAGTGAGACCGGGCTCGTTTTGCCTCCAGCTAAGTCCCACCCACCAGAAAAACATCATACAGTTTACTAACAATAATCGGGTCTATGGGCACAGTCTACATCTGGTGAGTAATATTACTGTTTCTGTAGTTACCTTACTGCTCTCTAAATTTGGAGGCAGAGCTGCTGGCTGTAGATTCATTCATCAATTTTGTCATCTGAGTGTATTTTCAAAAAATGTTGAACTATCCCTTTAATATCAGTCGTGTGCCTACTGCACAGAACAACAACTTGTGTGTATTTTAAGGACAGTGCATATTTTTAGTTGAGGCAAAAAGGAGTGTTTTAATTTCATCATCGCTTGTATGATTTTGCATGTGTAGCCTGTGTCTTAATGTTGAGCAGGAATTTAACATCAGTCAACCGGTAATGAGAGAGACACAGATCTCATGAAATGAATATTCAGCCTTCCCACTCTCTCCACATGAGAGATGAGGCTGGGCTTCTGAAGTCACGGCTCCCTCTACAGTTTGTACAGTGGAAATTTTCCATCCAGTGCAGGAAAAACAATCAAACTGACTGTGTTGAACAGTCGGGGGGAGACACAACGGAGACGCGTCCGGAGATCATTCGCACATACACAGCTTTACTTGTGAGATGTGTGTCTCAATCGGCAGCGGATACATAAACATCCCGACTGATACAGTACATTTCCATGTGGATTATCCATCACCCGGGAGGCTGAGTTACTGTTTTCCTGCGGACAAGCCGAAAAATGTCTCATTCTTTGAATACTTGAGGAGTGACGACAACTTTCCTCCTTTTCGGACTTCACCATACTAATCGGCGCAGATAAGAAGCGTGGAGCTACAACAAGAAGGAGATTACCGGATTTAACAATGCAAACAGATCAATTCCCCGATCAGGATTTGCAATTTTAAGCAGCAGGCAGTTTGGAGTCTGCAGCGGGGGACACCGAGCAATGTTATCTGCGGAGATGCGTTGTTCGCTGAGGTTCATGTCCGTGGATGTTGCGGCTCGGTCGGGCTGCACACGGTGCCTTTGGGTGGCTGTGATTGGACCGGACACAGACTGGGGCTGACTGATGTTTGTCCGAGAGGAAATGTTTTGGGGAGGAGATCAATATGACTTACTGGCGCACGCGAGGGGGGGAGATTGCCAGTCTTCACGAGCACACGTATTACTATGAGGACGGAGGAGAGCGTGCAGGGTTTCTTCTCTTGGATTTAAATTCAAAACAGACCTGAAAGCTCCTACCTTCAGACATTTATGTATATTTAATGTGATGCGTTTTGTTGCCTTTGCAAAGTGTTCCAAGATTGTTACAAGTGGATGTGGACAGTGTGTGTTTGCACTAAAGTTTTTTTTTCCTGGCTATCATGCATGGGACTTTGATATTGCATCACTTGTCTTATAAAATATAAATTTTTTGAACTCTTGCACCTCCAACAAATATATCCCACCTGGACTTTTACTCTGGAGTTATGGGATGTTACGACAACATTTTTAAGGAAGAAAACAATCAGTTGCCTCATTTCTAAATGCAGTAAAATGTACCCCCAAATGCCCGGCAACATGGTAGTGAACTGGGTTGTGTATTCAGTTTTTATACTCCCGCTGTTTGCAGTGGGGACAGCTTTCTCGGGGGTCTTCAATGCCACAGACAGAGACATTTTTACAGATGACTTGCTGCAGGTCAAGCTCACACAAGCCAGAGCGACCTAGCAGTGGAAACTCCAGTCTACTGATTCCCATCCCAACCTATATTTTAACCAAGTGGATGTGTTGCACTTGAGGCAAAGGTCCTCCACCACCCACAGTCACATATTTAAAGTCATCCGGGCTGCTGCGCTCACCATGTTGTCTAATGTCCCCTTTTACATGCCCCCTGTGAAACATGCAGAGTTTACAAGCAAGTGGAATGAGATTTATGGGAACAACCTGCCTCCCCTGGCTCTCTATTGCCTGTTGTGCCCAGAGGACTCTGCTGCCCTGCAGTTTCTTATCAAGTTTATGGATAGGATGGCTGAATACCCAGACTGGAGGGTAACCAGTGCCCCTAACGATGAGGTCCCCATGGCGCACTCTCTCACTGGGTTTGCTACTGCTTATGACTTTATTTACTCCTACCTGGATGAGCGGCGGCGGGATGTTTACCTCAAGAAAATTCGCTCTGAGACAGAGGAGCTGTTTGAGCTCTCAAAGTACAGGGGATGGGGAAAACAGTATCTCCAGAATCATCAGACCACAAACATATTAGCCACCCTGACTGGTGCTATAGTGGTTGGATCACACAACGACCCGGAGTCAATGATCTGGAAACAAGTGGCAGTGAACTACATGGAGAAAACTATGTTTCTCTTAAACCATGTTGTTGATGGGTCTCTGGATGAGGGGGTAGCCTATGGGAGCTACACAGCCAAGTCCATCACACAGTATGTCTTCTTAGCTCAACGCCATTTCAACATTGACAACCTGCAGAACAACTGGCTGCGGGGACACTTCTGGTTTTATTACGCCACTCTGTTGCCGGGGTTTCAGAGAACTGTCGGCATCGCTGACTCCAACTACAACTGGTTTTATGGGCCGGAGAGCCAGCTCGTTTTCCTCGACACATTCGTCATGAGGAATGGGACGGGAAACTGGCTGGCTCAACAGATTAGAAAGCACCGACCCAAAGACGGTCCCATGGGGCAGTCGTCCGCCCAGCGCTGGGCTACACTTCACACAGAGTACATCTGGTACAACTCCCACCTCATGCCGCAGCCTCCCCATGACTTTGGAAAAGCGAGGATGCATATTTTCTCAAACTGGGGTGTGGTTACCTACGGGGCAGGGCTACCGAACGGTCAGGGTAATACTTTTGTGTCCTTTAAGTCTGGCAAGCTGGGTGGCCGTGCAGTCTATGACATTGTCCATGACAAGCCTTACTCCTGGGTGGAGGGCTGGAACAGCTTTAACCCAGGTCACGAGCACCCTGATCAGAACTCTTTCACATTTGCTCCTAATGGGCAGGTATTTGTGTCTGAAGCACTTTACGGTCCAAAGTACAGCTATCTTAACAATGTTTTGGTGTTCAGTCCATCTCCTACCAGCCAGTGTAACAATCCGTGGGAGGGTCAGTTGGGTGAGTGTGCTAAGTGGCTGCGATGGACTGATGAGGGGGTGGGTGATGCCAGAGGGGAGGTGATTGTCGCCTCCTCACACAGGGACACCATGTTTGTGAGTGGGGAGGCGGTATCAGCTTATTCCCCTGCTATGAGATTAAAGAGTGTGTACAGAGCTTTAGTTCTGCTGAACTCACAGACTCTGCTGGTGCTTGACCACGTAGAGAAGTTGAGTGATTCACCTGTGAAGTCCCTCAGTGCTTTTTTCCACAATCTTGACATTGACTTTAAATACGTTCCTTTCAGATTCATGGACAGGTATAATGGTGCCATGATGGATGTGTGGGACGCTCATTATAAAATGTTCTGGTTCGACAGCCAGGGTCACAGCCCTGATACACGGATACAAGAGGCAGAGCAGGCGGCTGAGTTTAAAAAGAGGTGGACTCAGTATGTCAATGTCACTTTTCCGATGGCAGGCACAGTCAGTCGAGTAGCATATGTCTTACATGGGCCTTATGTCAAAGTGTCCAACTGTAGATTTGTGGATAATAGCAAGAATGGAGTGAGACTTTCTTTAACTGTAAATAACACAGAGAGGATAGTTTCTATTGCAACAAACTATAAAGACATAGGTGCGAGGTTGGCATATTTAGGATTTGGAGGTCACTGCAAAGTTGAGGATAGATATCAAATCACTCGATATGGCCTTGGGACTCAACTGATCCCCAAACAAATCAGCAGTGATAATCAGCTGTTTGACTTTGGGTTCACAGTCAATGTGATAGCTGGGGTTGTTCTCTGCATGGCCATAGGATTTTTGACCATGCAGAGAAAGTTTTATGTCTGCTTCGGCAGGCTGATGCGTTACGCCCTCCTCTCTGTGCTCATTCTGTGGATAGCTGAGCTGCTGTTTGTGTCTAACAGCTGCGATCAGCTTCTCTGTGGGGTAAAATGGAAAGGTGCGGGTGCCAAAAGCGAAGTAAACAAACAAATCAGACTGTATGAGCAGCACCGGCTCCCCCTCCCCACTGTCGTCATAACAACCCTTCCCGGATCGGGATCAGAAATACTCAAGCACCTTTTCTACAACAGCTCGGACTTTGTTTACATAAGAGTCCCCACCGAGCACGTGGATATTCCTGAGACCGAGTTTGAGTTTGACTCTCTGGTCGACGCCTGCGAGTGGTCAAGGTCAGATGCCATGCATGGACGGTTTAAGATTATCCAGGGCTGGCTGCATTCGCTGGTCCACAACACCAAGCTGCACCTGCAGAATATTCAGCTGGTAGAGGGCAGCAGGGTCAAACAGCCCCAGAGAGTTAGCCCCTCTAGGGACAGAAAGAAAAGATCCAGACGGAGGGAGCCGGCATCTGAGCTGAAGGGCAAACTGAGAGCAAGTCTGGACAGAGATGCAGAGTATGTGAGGGAGATGAGACGGCATGTTGCGGAGTACCCTAACGCCAGGGTGGTCCTCAACATGCGGAGTGGAAGCTGGGCGCTCAAACTGCCTTTCATTCAGGAGGTTGTGGGATCTTCCCTGAGGACAATCTACTTGGTGAGAGACCCTCGAGCGTGGATTTATCTCATGGTTTATAACAGCAAACCCAGCCTTTACTCCCTTAAAAACATCCCGCAGCACCTTTCCTTGATATTCAAGGAGGATGCTGTCAGTGACGGGTGCCCAGCTGCAGCGCCAGAATTTAAAATAATCCAGAGGCTGCTGTCCCATTCAGAGACAAACCCCATCCTGATACTGGCTCATCTGTGGCTGGCTCATACCGCAGCAGTGCTGAGGGTCAGCGAGAGCCTCCCAGAGGAGTCCTACCTCCAAGTGAGGTTCGAGGATGTGGTCAACTTTCCGCAGGAAACAGCAGAGAGCATACACACATTTCTGGGGGTGCCTGTGTCACCCGCAGCCCTCAACCAACTCCTGTTCACCACCTCCACGAACCTGTACAATCTCATGTATGAAGGGGACATTTCACCAGCCAACATTAACATGTGGAGACAAAATATGCCTCGAAAAGACATCAGACTAATAGAGGACGTGTGTGGGAGTGTGATGAGGAGGCTGGGTTACACCAGGTTTGCCAGTTAACATGCTGCTGCTGGTCAGCTGATACTGAGCTGTCTTGTTTACTGTAGCTGCCATGGAGTTCTGTAAAGTTTTTCTTTTCTTTGCACTGACCTTAAATTTTAAAAAATAATGTCACAACTTGAGGAGAAACTGAGTAGCATTTCCGTCTTTTTATTGTGTTTGTTTGGGTGTTGTACAGACTACAGCAACAGATGTTTGTGAGGGAGGAATACTTAACATTAAAATAGGTGGAAGGGAGCTTGTGTTGTTTTCTCCCCCCCCAGCCGCCCTTCACACTCACTTGTAGCACTCTCTTATAGAGTGAGACCTTAGACCTTTGCTGTGTTACATGCAGAGTTGAATTTGTTCTGTTATTGCAGCATCCCACAACAGCTCAGTTTCATAGTGAAGATTATTTACTGTTAGTTTTAGTACAAGATGAGAATTGAGAGTTTTTCTGTTCACTAATCTTTAATGTTAGAGAGATGTGTGTGCAAAATCTATATCTGTTATTAGTGGCATTATTTATTTTTTTCTCGGGACGTGGGGGTGGTTCAAGAGATGCTTACCGGTTTGGAACAAATATGATGCTCATTAAGAAATAAGATTGTTAATATTGTTTAATATTGTTTTTATTGACAGTCTTATAATTGGCAGCTTTGGGAGAGAATTTTCAAAGAGTAATTTGGCTGTTATGAATTTAAAGGGATAGTATGGAATTTTTTGATGTGGGATTTTATAGAGTACTTATCCATAGTCAGTGTATTACATACAGTAGATGTCAGTTGCAATGCCTCCAGTTTGGAGAATCAGGCTGAAGTCTGACACGGAAGCTAAGCAATATATAACAATGGATGGGGGTCGGCAATGAAACATATTTTTACCACCAAATAAAATGTCCCACCTAAAAAAACTAATATCAGTTTGAGTCAACACTATACTGAGAGTGTTTTTATGGCTTTACCTTTCTGTCAGACAGCCTATTTAGACTTCAGTTCCCCACCTTTGCTCTTGTAAAAGCCGCCAGACTCCATTGAGAAAAAAGGGTAATTTTAGCTCTCCGAACACAGGAGTTGCTGGTCTACCACTGCTTCAATCAGTCAGTTAATTTGTGTTATTGTGTGACTTTGGTGAATCTGAACTAAGTCTTCAAATTGGCAAAGTCACATATGCATGTTTTTTTCAGTAGAGTCTGGCAGTGAAGAGAGCAATGCATGTAATATACTGTTTATGAATAAGTACCCCATACAGGCTCACCTCAAAAAATTGGAACTATCCCTTTAATATCTGAACTTGTCGTGCTATTCCCTTTAAAACTTAAAAAATGCCTCAATTTTTAAACTCTTTTGCCAAGCAGAGAAAGAAAGGCTGTGCTTTATTGCTCTAATATAGACATATGAATGATATGGATTGTATTTTCATTACATCAGTGGAGGGATTTTTATTTGAAGCTCAAAGATGTCACGATGGCTCGGCGGCTTAGCACTTTCACAGGGACTCCTCTGATTGTATGCGGGATTCAGTGCATTCTCCAAAGCTAACTTTACTGTATGTAGTCGATTAGCTCGGAAACATAAAACCTCTGAAGATATATAAACCTCTGAAGATATATAAACCTCTGAAGATATTATGTGTAGAAGAAAGAAAGTTAGAAGTATTTATGGGTTCCAAAGACACATATCCCAAAGGATCAGGGATGAATATGATTATTATAACTCCCTTTGGCATTTATTGAATTAGATCAGAGGGAAGTGCTTAATAGGGATCAAACTGAAGAAAAAACAACCTGTCAGCCTTGACACATTTCTAGTCAAAGCAATTTCCAAAGCATCCCCCTCAGCTACTCATATTAATCTGCAGAACGCCATAACTGAGGCTTACCCTGTGTTTTATTGTTGTGCTGTCTTCACTTTCAAGGCCTGAAGGAAATGCAAACACTTTCCATTTCCTGTCTTGGTCAATCAGATATCCAATGATCTTTTTGGGCCTTTGTCTTGAGAGAGCTCAGCGAGCATTGGACTGAGCAGGGGATGAATATTAAATATAGTTAAAGAAAAAAAAAGTCAGAGACCATTTCTACTCTGTGATGTTATGCTCTTTGGCCTGGGCGAAAATATACGCTCCTCAGTCAGTAAGCTTTGATGCTGTCTTGCTTAAACATTTCTGTACTGTAAATGGATCACATGTAACATGCAGATTACGACTGCATCTGTACACTCACAAAAAACCCATACTGTACTCATTTGGAAATATCCGTCTTTCCTCAGCTAGAAACAGTCCTGTTTGTTTTCTTCTCTACGAACACTGAAACCCTTGACTGCTTGGAAAAAAAAAACGTTTGATGTTTGTGGTCTTTGAATGTGTAGACTTGGCAGACATGCTTTCACTTTGGTGTTGCAATCCTGTTACCAACTCTGTTTTGTATTTGCTCGTGGGGATATGGTTCCTTGCTTCTGTGGCCTTGAATTACAATCATTTTCTTTATAAGGGATTTTCGGTGGGGCTCTGGAGCAAGAGGTTGAGATAATGTAAAGAAAATAATAAATTCATAAATATATCAACCAGTCTTTTTGTTCGGATTGACTTCCTGTTCAATAAGCGAATGTACCATGTGATTATGTAACGTCATTAGCTGCAGATATGTTAAATTACTGTTAATACAGCGTAATAGTCTCCTTTGCGATGGTTACTGCTAACCCACTAGTAAAACTTCTGCAGACGTCTCTGTGCTGCCACATTTATGCAGCAGCAAAATCTCCATTTTATTAGACATGGATGACAGGAGCCTAATTGCCTGCATGGGTGACGTGCATGACAAGGAGGAGCCAACAATTAAAAACATGTCAGGAAATTCTTTTGTCACGCTCTGACTGAGATGGGACCCGAACACGAGCAGCCCTTCCAAAGTGCACATGCCGTGTCTCGCGTCTTCTGACTGGTCTCAATGAGTCAGTCATTTCATTACTCATTTGTTCTTGATCCTTCCTGTAACACTCTAATGCTTGGCAGGGTCCTCTGTGCCTAATCCTTCCATGCAGAGGCACATTATTCACTGAAAAAAAAAAGGGAAAAACCTCAGGCGAGTGCTTTGGAAGGGAGGTTTCTACAAGTCCTGACTTGCACTCGATGGAACTGTAAGTAGCCTGTTTCGATTCAGTCTGGGTGCCAGAAATATTGGTGCATAGATAATCTTATTATTAATATTCATCTTGACTCTCTAATATTCAGATTTATAGACGAGTTTGTCAGGGTAGTTAACAAAAATGGTACTCAGATCTATTACTTGATTAGTAGTGTAGAAATACTCTGTTACAAGCAAAAATCCTGTATTTAAGCTCTTACCCAAGAAAAAAAACCCACAAGTTTTTTTTAGCTTTAAAATATTCTGAAAGTACCGACATTAAATGTGAGCATTAGGCAGAATGTCAAATTTCAGATTAACCAAAATTAGACAAAGGGTTATTACCAAGTGGGTTTTTCACTTGCAGGCAAATTGCCTAGCAATAGCAATAGCAATAGCAATACAATAAAGATATTAAAAGAAATTCTATAAAAATACTATAACATATATAAAATATACATGTTTTTGAATGAGAAAGCTGTGCAGTTTTGTGCAGTGTATGTAAATATATTCCATCAGAGAATGTGTAAAAGTTCACAGTATACTGAATATGTCATTTAAAATGTATATTTATTACTGGACTATAATTATTAATGCATTATCTATCCACATTTCAACATTGCAGCTGGTAAATCTTAAGCTAATTTTAGTTTTCTTTATATGCTGCTGGGAAGCGTAATCTATAATAATACATCTTAATTTCTCAATTAATTTATATTATAATATTAATAACTTTGATCAGCAAAGTTACCAATAATGAAATGTCAAATTCATGTAGTGGAGTTAAAACTACAATATTGTCTTACCAAAATGTAGAGGATTAGTAGTGTAGACAACCATACATAATCATGACCCTTAGCGTTACAGCTGTTATCAGATTTTGTGGTGGCCCCTCTCATAAAATAACTTTGTAACTACTTCCTGTATGGATATATAAGTCACAGATGCTTTATAAAGATCAATAACAAGCCATCATTTATAACAACCTTTCAATTGCCAGGTTGGCTCTCTATAGCTGGTATTTATCTTCACCAGGCAGTGAATTTATAGTATATTTACTTTAAGGAGAACATCGCCTAAATTAAGAATTCCAATATGTTATTTTCATGGCTGAAGTTTAATTAATATTTGTGAACATGAGCTGCTCTCTGTTAAAGCCAGAAACTAGAGAAATAAGTCTCAAACTTGTGATGTCATACAGTATAAAGTCTGGAGCTGCTACATTGACATTGAATGGGAGGCTGGTTTTGTGGACCCACAAAATGTTTTGTTTTCTTTTTATACCTAAATTATTATTTTTTCTGCAGTAGTGTTCTCAGCCCTGAAACAGAAAATGGACCCATATACTCAGAACAGTCCTCTGGGTGCTTTCAACGTCATCTATAACATCTTTCCGAATTCATTGTCTGTGGAGCAGCTCCATACCTTTTATTCTATGACATCACACATTTGAGTTTTAGCATTCTAGCTTTTGGATTTGGGAGAGTTGTTTATGTTTACTTATATTTTTAGACTGTCTTAAGACCATGGGAATAACATGAACATTGAAAATGGTTGCAGTCTCCCTTTAGGTTCTATGACCCAGTACTAATGTGCTTCCTCTATATGTTACTTTATACTATAGGTCACTGAAGTTCAGAAGGAAATACTGAATTTTCCACCCTGCTGTATTTCAGTATCAGTATCTAATAATTTCATATATAATAGTATATCTCTCACAGGGGCCATTTTTCTGCAGAATGAACAGTTTTATTTTGGTCCTTCTTGAACATTTTGCTGATAATACTTCTGTTGTGAATACTACCTCCACACTACTGCCAGCAGAACACTGCAGGGTCTCTGCTGCACCAGAGTCCATTTATTAACTAGACTATTCATTAACATCTCCAGCTGGACACTTGATGGATGATTGTAAAAGCCTTTACAAGTCAATAACTCATTAACACTTACAATGGCAAACGAGCAACTAATTGTAGATTTGGATTAGGTGTTGCTGTGACCCATGACCCTTTGGTAATGACTTTATAAGCATGTGGACATGACGGCTTATTTGTAAACGTTAATGGATAAATTGATTGTGGTCCAGATTCAGCTAAAAGACATTAAGTGTCCAGCTGCAGGAGGAAAAACTCGAGCAAGAGAGAATTTTTACAACCAGCAACATCCCCCCTAAAAATAATCTTATTAATGACTTGATCTGTAAATAATTAGTAAATGGTTAATTTACAATCAATGAAGCTACTGTATGAGAATGTCTAATGGATTCATATTTTATGACACTATATCCAATAAGTCAGCCTTTATATGAAGTTTATAGGTTGTATAATGACTTCATTCAAAAAAGCTCATAGTTGGCCCACAGAAAGTTGTGTTTGGTCAATGAAAACAGAAAACGTATGTCATCCCATTCAAACCAAGCGAGGAAGACTTGCATGCTATGTGGCAACATTAGCCTGCAATTCTCTCCTCTACTACTAACATTACACACTTTAAAACTTACCAGACCAACCAACTACCCCCACAACGACTGAGTGGGCGCCAACGCAAGTAATAAACTTCTCAATATCCACTGTCGGAACAAGTGTGTTGTAGGAACCAAAGTTACATGGCTTGTTCTCTGGGACCTGCTTCATTGAAGCACGTCAGCATTCCAATTGGTTGTCGTTGAACTGTGTCAGAGCTTATTACCATAAAGTTAAACGAGTTTTAACTCCCCTCTGGACCGCTCTGATCGCTTTGGTAGCCCAAGACGCGCGGCTGACGACCAGGCCGCCCAAGTCGCCAGGCTCGCATTGAAAACGAATGACTTCCGCCGTTTTGGCTCTGGTCGCTGTTGGTGTGAACGTACAGTAAGGTGACCAAAACAGTCAACACTAGGATTCTTATTTTCAGGTGATTATACATTCAAGAAAACATTCTTATTATATTGCTTTTCTGCCAATATATCCACCTAAATCCCACACACTGGACCTTTAAGAACATATTAACATGTATAACTGCAGACTTCTTTTTGGTTTTTAGAAAATGAGAAATGTGTAAATTGTGAATGAACTGACTAGAGGGACTTTTCACAACCTGGCAACCCAAAAGTTGCTCTTACTAATGTGTCATAACTGATCTATAAAGCATTGGTAGTTGATTTATTCATCATTTACTAAGCCTTTATTTTAACCCCTTTATAAAGGTTGCCTTAAAAGAAAGTATTACTGATTTTATTTTATTTTTTTCAGATGGAACAGATTTATCACCACTTTTTAACAGGATGGCACAAAATAACATTAATCTTCCCTATAAAGCTAATCAAGCTAGTTCACACATTAAGTGTATAATCTCTACCAGTGAAATTTAATGGCATCTTAGAAAGGGGATAAAAATAAAGCTATATGTCAGAGTGTCTATTTCCCATCTGGAAATAAACACCGCTGCTGCACAGGAAGACAAATATGCTTTATGTAAACCTTTTGATGTCTGATCACAAGGAGCAGATTTGCTGAACTAATTTAAGCTCAGAGGTTGCCTCGTAGATTATCTTTGATGTTTGATAACCAATACGTAATCATTGCATGAAATAAGGTTTTATATAGAGAGTGATGAAAAGCTGCATTATAATCTAATTCCATGCAGCAGCACAGGGAAGTGATCAAGTAGCTCTCTCAGACTATTAAGCACATGGAGGTTATCCAGAAAGAAAAGCAGACTCAATTTCAGCTGAGTAGTCATACCCGCCGCTGTTCCACCTTTATCTTTCGCCACTGGTGAGTCCAAGTCCCGGGAGAGCCTCTCCCTCGCCGGCAGCCATTGCTCCTGCCACTGCTCATTAATTAACCTTTGCTGCAGCCGCCATCAGTCAGAGAGCAGCCTGATATTCTGGAGAGGAGTAATCATCGATACCGTGTAAGGCTATTGTGCTGGAGAATTAGCCCGCTGATGGAGAGCAACACCATCATTGTTAAGAGTTTTAAAACTCCAATAAGAATTCGACAGGCATGGCTCGTGTCCTTCAGATGACAGAGAAGACGGATGCATCCAGACTTTACTGACAAGGTGTAAGCAGCTGGCGTTGCCACTCTCCTATATTTAGTCATTTTCACTTTGGTAAACAACGTCTGTGAGGTCCTCACATCCCACTGTTCAAATTTACCTGCTGATGACACTGCTGTGTGTGGATATTGGGGGAGGCGCACATCCTGGGAATTGCCATTAATAAGAGTTGACTTGCAAGGAAATATGGTGCATTGTCAATTTGCAGCTGGTGGCAAGTCATTTCTGTAGTGAATATGGGATCTTCCGTGCCAATAAAGAACAGCGGCAACTGCTAATGAAGCCCAGTCTGGTCTTATAGCGCAGGGAAATCAGACCAGATGAGGCATTTTGAATTTCACTCCAGGCGGATCTCTGTGCTGAGGCTCACAGTTGTGTACCACAAACACTCCTTAAGGCTTT